GTTCAAACACTCCATGAAAATATCCACCAAGTTAAAGTGAACATGTTACTATACTGTAACTTTTAAGTATCTGATCAAGAGACTCACAGAACCATTAAGCTGGATGAGGGACCCCAAACATCACCCAGTCCCCTGCCATGGGAAGCGATGCTACCCACTAGATAAAGCTGCTCAAAGCCCCATCTAACCTGGCCTCTCACACTTCCATTCTCCAAGCAACCTGTTCCAGTGCCTCACAACCCTCACAGAAAAGAACTCCCTAATACCTAATCTAAACCTGACCTCTTGCCCTTTAAAGACATTATCCCTTGTCCCATCACTATGTGTCTGTGTATAAAGTCCCTCTCCAGCTCTCTTGCAGCCCTCCTTGTACTGGAAAGATGCTCTAAGGTCTCCCCGCAGCTTTCTCTTCTCCAGGCTGAACAAGCCCAACTCTTTCAGCCTTTCTTCAAAAGAGAGGTGTTGCAGCCCTCTGGCATCTTCATGGCTCTCCTCTGGACTTGCTTCAACAGGCCAACATCTTTCTTGTGCTAGGGGCCCCAGAGCTGAACACAGCAGGTGAGATCTCATCAGAGTAGAACATAGGGACAGGATCCCCTTCCTCGCCCTGCTGGCCACGCTGAATTGATGCAGCCCAGGACATGGCTGGCTTTCTGAGCTGTGAGTGCCAGGCTGTGTTGCGCTTCTTAGCCACCAACACACCCCAGTCCTCAGGGCTGCTCTTATTCCATTCTTGGCCCAGCCTGGACCTGTGCTTGGGATTGCATTGTTCCATGTGCAGGACCTTGCACTTGGCCTTGTTGAACTTCCTAAAGTTTATGCAAGCTCACCTCTCAAGTCTGCTAAAGTCCCTCTGGATGGCATATTTAGTTTCAGTTCTTCTCCCACCAGTATTCCTGTAATCCATCAATTTTGTGTTTGAACTGCTTTGGGTCACAGCATTAGTGTGCTGTATGTAGCTACATGAATTATCTTACTATTTTCTGTCTTCTAAGGAGTTGAATTCTTTAAATTTCAACATAGCATTTATGTTTAATAATTCACAGATTGTGTAGCATTTCAATCTTCTTTCAGCTGCAGGAAGGATGAAAAAGGTCATTATAATACATGCATTGCTACAAGTTATGACAAAGCAGCACTCTGGAGAATGGCTGTACATATTGCATCAAACGGGTTTTACTTTCTGCAGTGAGGTCAAAGGCTTAGAAAAATTTAAATGGGGAAGCATCAATATATTATCCCATATCCTAGTGAACTCAGTAATGGAATTTTCAGTCTCCTTAGCAGCACCTGACAGCAGACTTCTGAAAACTGCCTAAAACATTATAGTGTTTTCTAGATTTTGCAGGCACCAAGGCTACTTGGAAAATTACCTTTGAAAATTCTGCCTTAAATGAATTCCAACAATTGCACAGCAAGTCTGTGCTAAAGTCTGATATCAAAGGAGGTGGTGAGCCTTAATGAAGCATCTACTTAAATTCAGGTCGTGCTTTAGCAGCAAGCACTCTGGCGGATTATTAGAAGCGGATGCTGTTTAATCTCTCTTGCCTCCTGGGAAAACCTGGCATTTAAAAAATTACAGAAGGGGCAGAAAAGTGTTCTCTCCCAAAGAGTCAGTTGTTCTGCCTCGCCATGAAACATGACATTTTAAGATGTTCTGCCCATCAAATCTGAACATATTCGGATGAACAGGACAGTTTCTTGCAAACTCTGCAGGCTTTTGGCTTTTAGATTTACAAGGATTTACATTTGTATTTTAAATGTCTGCTAAGCTTCCTAAAGAAAGGATTTGTTTAATTATTTCACATTTTGATATTTTCAGATCTGAAACAGAGCTACCTGCCTTGATTTTAAATGAGTCCTTAGAATCCATTTAAATTTCAAGGACTCACCCTCTGTTCCAAGGAAATTAAAGGAGCCCAAAATGCCCTCTGTCTCTGATTAGAAACAAAAATATTCTGGAGTGATGCAACAAAGCTCTCACCTGAAGCTTGAGTATTGAAAATCTTCTCTCCCTCCTTCAGATTTACTGAAAACTGGTTTAGTTTGAGGCTTTTTTGCAATCCCATATTCAACAGTTCTGCACAAAATCAGGACATTTCCTGATTTGAAGACTCCAGGATGAAAGACTCCTCACTCAACAAACTGGAAAGGAAATTAGATTTACAAAGATTCTGCATTTTGAGAAGTGAGCTGAAACATTCTGTTTCTTTACAGATTCCAGTTCTACAGGGAAGCTATGCCATTTCCAATGCATTGGAAATACACTCAAGTCCCATTAACCGTGGATGAGATGGAATGAATTTTAACTGGCAGAAATTCAAGGTGGCTTTTTTCAGGGAAATCTTTGCACAGAATCTAGCTCAATGAAAAATAAAATTAAAAAAAAAAAAGGGGGAAGAAAAGGGGGTTGGGGGGATATTAATACCTCTGCTATCATACAAACCTAAAATCTAGAGTGTATATTCCCCTGTGTTCTGTCTGTTATATATATGTCTGTTCAAGGTAGAACACTGCTCTCAAAATTTTTTAACTGTAACATTTCTGACATGAGAAAAATAGAGCAGATGTATTTAAAATAAAAAGCATGCACCCACAAATCTTTCACTATTTCTCAGATAAGATATCTTATAACATCTAATACAAGATCCAATCACTAAAGGCACCATAAAAGCTTGTCTAACACTCTGGAATCCAACACTTTGGAAGACTTTGAAAATAAAGACAAACTGAAAATAAAGACAAAAATTATCTACGTACTTTTCATATTTTAAGTTCTATGGAATCAAAATCCAGTGATCATCCATTACACCATTATTCCTTATCACTCTGAATCTCATATGACAAGTTTCTACACAAAATATATAGGAATAAATTAAATTTAAGTCTGTCATGCCGACAAGATGATTATCTAAATCTTATTTGAACAAGTTACTTTCTACCTTTCTACCTTTTCAAAACTGTGTTGAAAGCCTCTCATGCCTTCCTATTAAGCACAAAAAATGCCTTTTTGAAGCTGTGCAGACTTCTGTGAGATGAGGATTACGTACTGTCAATTAGTAGTATTGTTTTGTGCCAAATACACACGATTTCAAGAGCTTATTACAAACCATTATTTGCTTTTATAGTGTTCTGGGAAACAAAACACCTCATTCTATGTAGTGTCGTAGTGTCACATACAAAGACGATGGATACAGCTCGGTGACTTTCAGAGATCTGACTGTGTGTGTTAAAATTAACAACAAACTGAGTCTTCAGGTGAATTTTCTTTAATGCCATACACTGTAGAATTTTGAATTATGAAGCAAATGCATTCTTGTTTGATTTCTGTCTGGAAGATATAAAGGCAGGTCTCCATATCAGTGAGACAGTAATTAGGTGGGGAATCTATACATGATACTTTTTGGGAACACATGGATTGTATTTTTCTTTTCACAAGTCTCCTCTGAGTGTTAGAAGCAAACTCCATTACTAATGTCATAGGAATGCTACTGTTTAATCCAGTAAATACCACACTGCTAAAATAACTCCTCCTGAATTTTTAAAAAATATTCTTTGAACAGAAATTGAAGCTGCCTCTGCAGAAGCATAACATTTTTGCATTTTTGCAAAATGTTGGCTCCTTCTAAAATGGATGTATGCTTTCACGCTATGGCTGAAATGCAACCATGGTCACAGAAATACCACAAAACTTATTTTATGGATATAAATCCCATTTTATTTTCATGTGGCACTTTCACTGACAAGGAAACATGAATTGTAGGTTTTAAGATCAATTTTTCACCTTATGAAGAATTGATAACGTAATGATGTAATGATGCACATACACCCATATGCAACATTTTTGTCCACCTTCTACTTATTTTACAAGGCATCTAACAAAAAAGAAATAATGCTTTTATATAGAAAGAGAAGCATTCTTATGTATCCCCTTTCTTTCCAAACTCTTATTACCACCTGCATTTATACACTAAAAGGCTTCTGGTAAATAGCAAGAGAATGGAGTTTTTTTCTATAAACTACAAGATGCCTCAGTAGGAAATGCAGATCAGAGAGAAGCACTCGGTATTCAATGGCTCAAACAAATGTGTATCTTTATGTGACACACACAAAAAAAGATGCCAGCAGACATCAGGCATCAACTCACAAGTTTGCAGAAGACCAGGGCTACATCAGATGCAGTCTCCTGATGATCCTTTTGCATCCTGAAACTCCTTTTTAAGAGGCACTTTTTTTGTTCATTCTGTGCAGGCATGCAGAATTTCTCATAGTCTGTACAAACACCTAGGCAATTCTATTTTAAAAGCTGTGCTGTAGGTGTTTAACTAGGAGGAATCAATTTGTAATTGCTCACAGAAATGTAGATGTCTGTAGTTATGTATTTAGAACAGCATGTAGTGACAAGAGAAGGATTGGCTTCAAACTGAAAATTTTAGACTCAGTAGTAGGAAAGCATTTATTTTGAGGGTGCTGAGGCAGTGGGACAGTGGATGCCTGATCCCTGGTGTTCCAGGCCAGGTTGGATGGAGCTCGGAGCACCGTGGTCTAGTGAAGTGTCCTTCCCTATCGTGGTGGGGTTGGAATTAGATGATCTCGAAGGTCCCTTCCACTGCAAACTATTCTATGATTTTAAATACAACCTCTATAATGCACACTACATAGAGCATATGTAAGTTGGCCAGCTGTCAGGAGCCGCCGGGTAAACTTTCAGGCAACTAACAGAACATAAATTAGTGTTTTTCAAAATAGGCCTCTGATCCTGGCATCTGTGCTTCTGTGCAGATGAGACAACCTTTTAATACGTACACACAGACATTTATTTCAAATCAAACTCAAAAGCGGCAGAAATCTCCGGAGGCCAAGCATTCGCCCATAGCCGCGGCCCCACTCACTGCGCGGCCCAGCGCCCGGCGGTTCCGCGGCCCCGCAGCAGCGCCTGCGCGGCCGCCCGCTCGCTCTCGCCGGCCCCCGAAGCTTCGTGAAGATTCCGGAAGGCTCCGGCCGGCTCTTTCCGCCGCCGGAGCTGCCCCGCCCCCGGGACTGCTGCCCGGCTTCCTTCCTTCCTTCTCTCTTCCTTCCGCCGTGTTCCAGCGGGCTCGGCTCTCCCGGGCGGCGGGGCAGGTGGTGCCGTGGCCATGTCGCTGCTCTGCTACAACCGGGGCTGCGGGCAGCGCTTCGACCCCGAGAACAACACGGAGGGTGAGGGCGGCGGAGGGGCCGGGGCCGGGGCCGGTGCCGGTGCGTCGCTGGCTGCCAGCGCGGGGAGCGGGGGCGGCCCCGGCGCTCTGCGGGGCGGTGTGAGCCCGGCCGGGCCCGGGCCCCGCGGCGCTGCGGGGCTCTCAGCCGGCCCCGGGTGCGGTTGCCCGGCGACACGCGTGTGGGGCCGGGGCAGGCCCGGCGCAGCACGGCGCTGTCATGTGTGCCAAAGGCTCTCAAGGCCAGCCTGGGCTTCTCTGCTGAGGGCCTCTGTGGGTGTTGCATTCATCGCAGTTACCAGCGGGTTTTTGCTTTTTAGTTTGGTTGGCTGGTTGGTTTGGTTTTTGGTTTTTTTTTTTAGTTTAAGTGTGTGGATTTGCAGCAGGTAATTAAATGTGCCTGAATTGCACGCATGTGCCTGTTCTTCCATGTGCCTTGAGCGCTTGCAGTGCTTCTGTGTTTGCTGAGAATGCTAGTGAAGCATGTTTAAACGTATTTAAGCCCCTCTGTCGTTTGGGGTTTCATAATTCCGCAGAGGTGCAGAAGGGTGAGTTGAGTTTTCTTTCAGAAGGCTCGCCCTCACCTGGTTTATAAAGTAACTGTGTTGGTTGAATTTCTAGAATGCTCTCTTTGTAGTAATTTAAGTTTTAGTGGCCCCCAGGGCTAGAAGTAGGCTAACATGTTCTAGCTTGTACATTTTTCGTGGTTTAGAACCGTGGCAGTAAAGAGTGTTTATTTTCCTGAGCTACGTGGTTTTGCACAGACAGGGGCAACATATTGAGTAGGATTTGCTAATGTTAGTAACAGCAGAAGTGGGCACAGTTGTGGAATGTTTACATTTAGGGATCTATTCCACCACCGCCCCTACACCCCTTTGCCCCAAAAGGCAAACCAGATATTTATTGTTTAAAAAAAGAAAAAAAAAATCAAATCCTATTAGGACTTTGTGACCCGTGCTCCTTATAAAAGTAACGCTTCTTTACAGTTTGTGATCAAGCTGTAGTAAGCTAGGTCAGGTTGGCGTGGCCATATGCTAGCTCTGTGGTGCTTGGGTTGGGGTAACAATTTCATGGCATGCATGTGCCTGTTTGTTTCAGTAAGTGGCTGGAACATGTAGTGGAATCGCTGTGCCCTAGACTAAGCATTTCTGAAGGCAAATGCAATTATTTACAGATCTGTACAGGCAACCAGGTTTTGCATATGGGTGACCCCTGCAAATTTCTACTTCAATATTTAATGAAAGGACTAATAAAGTGCTTTAAGGATGCAGCAGTAAGGTGATAGTAGTGTGTGCATGGTAGGATCAGTTTGACTATGAAATTGACATAAAAAAAGCTCCAAACAAACAAAAACCTGATAAATTATAGTACTTGTGTCTCCAGAAATTATCTAAAGGGTTAGAGAAAATGGCTGTGAAATACTTTGGTCTTCCTGGTAAAGGGAGGATGTTAACAGCAGTGGAGAGGTAACTTGTTTGTTTGTTTGGGGTTTTTTTCAGTGAAAATGTAGAATAGCAACCAAAAGCTGCAGCAATCTGATCTCATACAAATCAGAACTAGGATAAGCTTTTATCTGTTTATATCCTGATTTTCTGTTGGGCTCGGTGTGAGCACAGACGGGCTGGTGCTTTACTGTGCTCTAGCAGGCACAGTGATCAGACTGCTCAGTGGTCAGATCGTGCTGGCTCTGCTGAGGCTCTGCAGAGCTCCTTGTCCTGGCACCTTCTCTCCTGGAGCATGCAGGGCCCTCAGGAGGCAGCAGCCAAGCAGGCTGTCATTTGCTCCACCTGGTACCTACGACAGGGCAGGCTCCAGGGAGAGAGGAGAAAGGATTGCACTTGGCCAGATGGACCACCAGGCACCTGTCTGTGTCTGCCTTGAGCTGGAGCATAGCCACCCCTGAGTTGGTTGATTTTGTGATGGTTCTGGTCTCTAAAACGGTAGCTGTTATTAGCAGCATCTCTCTAGTGAATAATTAGAAATATTCATTTAAGTCGTCTGACTCAGAAATAATCTTTGCTATAAAACAGAGTTTATTTTTATTCTCATGGTACTTAAAATGACATACTTTCATACTTTTGGAAAAGAATAACCTCTGCTTTTATTTTTATTTGATTTAACAATGAAGTCCTGGTCATTATGCAAAATAACCATCTACTTCCTTTTTAATTTTCCTGTGAGATTTGCCAGTGTTAGCTTTTCATGCAGAAACTGAAGGAATTGATAGAGGTTTATGGATATATTTGTAAGTCTTGCTGGAGGACTAATGTCCTAAAATATGTGCATTTTGAGTTTAGGTGGGAACTGATGTCCCTCAGACTGTATTAGTGCTTTAAACACAGGCACTGAATATAAAATCAAAGGAAATTGTACAAAATTAGGTTTCTTTAAAAATCTACATATTTATAAAAAAGATAAAACCATTTGGGTTGGGTTTTTTCCTATTAAATATCTGTAGGCAGATTGCTAATGAAGTTATCACTTTTTTCTTTTGCTTCCTATTATGTGCTTTGTAACTGTTTGTGTCACTTTTAAGTGTTTCTAATTTTTCTTTAAAGGCTGAAAGATAGTGCTTAGAGTGAAGCCAGTAAAATACTGTTCATGCAGTAACTGTCAGTGAGAAGTTATATAATCAGAGTAGTTTTATTATTAAGTAAAAGAGAACAGCTGTAGCTGTGTAATGTTGATAAACATTTGTGAATACAAACACTTTCATTAATGGAGATTGTACTTTATAGACATAAAAACAGTGCAGTGTTTGTACAGAATCTATTAGTAATAAATCATATTGATACATCAAAATTGCCTGCATGTGGAAGACTAACCCTTGGGTTCAAATCCTTAGGTGGCTTAGGATGCTACAAACATTGAAAGAAAACAAAGTGGTTACTGTTCAAATCATGAACTCATGATTTGCATCAAGAGACTTTTTTAACAGAATACTTCTCGACAAAGCTCTGATCAGGTTCAAAAAGATGTATTTGAAGCCATAAATCAGTGTTTTCTGTCTGTCAGGCAGCCGTAGGGTCACTTTCTTACTTCTGCAAAATAACAAGGAAGGCCTAATTACTGATGGAGGCAGGGATGATCCATAGAGAGTTTCCTTGTTCCTCATGGAAGTAGTAGTTTGTCTTAGATACTTGCTTTCTAGTTTGTGTTGTGTAATCCTTAAGAAGAAAGAAGACCTCATTATTTATGTTTATTATATGCACTCAGATTGCTTTTTTGGAGGAATCTGGATTTTTCTGAGTAATGATGTGCCCTCAGGGAAGTGGGGCAGCTCATGGCATACGTTAATTGTGAATGTGGCATTTTTGCTGGGTTTGTAATCATATGAATAAATATTCTTGGTGTGCCTCAATATTAATAATAATCATTGCCTTCTAGATTCATGCACGTACCATCCAGGTGTGCCCGTTTTTCATGATGCTCTCAAAGTAAGTATGCAACTGTCCTTTTAAGTATTGTCTATTATCTGCTTGGTTTTTCATCTTTTTAATTTTAGATCTTTCAATGTTGAGAAACTGATGTTTAGCCTATCATGAACAACCCCATGAAATTAGAAAAGCACAGTTACTAATTCCTGAAAAAGAAATTTAAAACTCCACTCATATGGTCTAAATGCCATGCAAGTCTAGATGACTGTTTCCTGTTGATTAACTGACTTTAGGTCTCTCAGCAGTGTAATTAGGTCCTCTAGATAGGACTGTGGAGCCATTGAGAGGTTTCATACTCTTTAAATTAATTAAGCTGCTTGGAATTCAGAGCAGCTGCTTGTGGTCTAATGTGGCCAGGGCACTAATGTGTATGTGACATTTGTCTGCTGTAAAACACAGTCATGTTCATTTAATCAGCCAAATGAGAATGTTGGTTAAATTAGGACTGGTCACCCATGCCTCTTATGCAGCTGTCCAGGATTCTTGGGCTCCATCTTCAGTGAAGAATTAAATGTACCTGTGATGGGTCTCCAGTGCTTAGGCCGACTGCACAGCTCATCGTTTTGTGCTAAACTGTTTTCCCTCTTCAAGGATCTACTGGATGCATACGAAGTGCTTACAAGGGATCATTTCAGACATAACTGCTGAAACAGTGCTGGAAATCATTCTAATAATTTAATTGTGTGTAGTCAAAAATCTGGTGTCCAAAAATGGAGCCTGGCTCTTTATTAATACTGATGTAGCCTAAGTGGCTTTTCTTAGAACACTAAACTGCTGTTTAGCTGAGCTGTGAGGGAGTGAGTGTTTTTTTTTTTTCTTGGTACTTAGGAACTACTTCTACTGGAAGTGCATCTCCTCTCAACAATGTGGTGTCTTTTGGCCTTGTGAAAGCTTCTGCGTTTGTGCTGGGCAGTGTGTTTGCTCTGAGCTGTTGCTTATATTGCAGTACCTGACTCTGGAATCAGCCATCGTGTTTCACTGGCAAATTGGGGCAAATACTCTTAGATCAAATACTGTACAGTTGCTTAGACAATGGTAATTTTTTTGTACAAAATTACAGCTGTGCTCAGAGCACAGTACAAAAATCTTCTACATAATTATAAAGAAAGAAATTGTTCAGTTAGCTCAAAAACTTATGTTTACTCTCTTTTTCTCTTACATACTCACTGTTTACAAACAAGTACCACTTTCCTCCTTATCCTTATCCTGCCTCTTGCCTCTTAATTAAAAATTTATCATAATTGCAAATGTGCAGTTTTCTTCATGCGATGAGTTCTAGATAATCTAGGTGGGCAGGATGAACCTTTTGTCTCCTCAATTGTGGAAATAGTTTATATTTTGAGGGTATTTTAGAACTACCCACCTAAAACCCATTGTGTTGCACCACTTAAGCTTTCAAAGCAGTGGTGCATTAGTCAGTCTGTTGCCTCTAATAAGCTTCTTTGAGTTCTAAGATATATTATTCACAGTGGCAAGGCAATTTGCTCTAAAGTTGAATTTATGGTTTATATAATAAAAAGTGCTCTTGGTTGATGTAGTTGGATACCTGTGCAATGCACATATCCAACTCTGTTGGTGGGAAATAAGAAATTGAAAGATCTGAGTGGTGCTCAAGAAAAGGAAAAAAAATCTCTCTAATTTTTGGAAGAGGGCCTTGAGCATTGAGCCACAGGTGAGCCTGGTCTCAGGTGTAGTCTTTGTTTTGCTTACATGTTACTCAATCAGATGAAGTAACATTTCTGTTCTCTATTGACACAGAGTTGGCACCTAACTTGTCATGGAAGTATTGCCTCACATTTACTGAACTTTTTGATTAAGGCAGCACCAGCAAACTATAAGACTTCTCTGACTTTTAAAAATGCAGATGATGCTATTGTCCACAGTAGGGAAGAAAACAATTGCTAATTTTGATATGCCACATCTTTTAAAGAAAAATAATAAATATTTTGCATTTTTAAAGCTGTTGTCAAGTTCAGTGGTCATGCCTATGTTGTTTCTCTTCCAAAATGTTTGTAGGGCTGGTCATGTTGTAAGAGGAGAACAACAGACTTTTCTGACTTCTTAAGCATTGTGGTATGTACTCATGATTCTTTACAATTTCTATACTTGTCAAGTGACAGTGATTAATATTAAATGATGCATGTGCTTACATGTTTTAAATTAGCCTAATTCTGTTGAAACTGTCTTAATTCTTATATGCTCTTATTTTTTTCATATAATGCTGAAGTCAAAGCTCATTTTCAAGCTTTGTTAAAATGATCAAAATAGTTTTGGATAGAACTGCTTGCTAATAAAGAAGAATGGTCAGCATCTATTGCCTCTTTCTTGACTACAGAAAGTATGTGTTTTTCTTTTAACTTATATTGAAAATGAGAATATTTTCCACTTTGGTAGGGTTTCCTTTGCAGCCAGTGTTAAGAGTGGGCTACAGGAAAAGATGGAGCTGAAGAAATGAGTCAAAAGACTTGTTGCAGTTTTTGTTGATTTGTAATGTATGTGCACTACACTGCATTTATATATAAATTAAAACATATGTTTTCCACAATAGGGCTGTACAAAGGGTTTCCACAACAGCGAGAAACCTCCTGAGCCTGTTAAACCAGAAGTCAAAACTACCTCTGAGCGAAAGGAGCTAGCTGAACTGAAACCCAAATTTCAAGAACACATAATTCAGGCACCAAAACCATTGGAAACAATTAAGAGACCAAGGTACAGTATATGCAACTTAAGGTTTTCCAGATTTGTAGTCAGTTGGTCAAGTTAAAGCTTGCTTGGTTATTCAGTGTTGTACATTTCATGAAGTCTAGAAATTCTAAAATTAACCGTAGAAGACCTTGGTTTTTGTAGAAGTGATGTTGTTATCCTGGGCTTCAAAATATGAGAAAAGAATTCTGGTTATGAAAAAGAAGTGCTTGATCTTTCAACACCATAAGCGAAAATTGAAGTCTATAACCTCATAGCTTAAAATGCCACTAGAAACTGTGTTAAGTGTTTTAAACAGTAATAAAAATAATTTTGGGATGCTTCTATTTAGATTCCTTAGTGTCGCTGATTTATTTTTATTTTTGTAGAATATTTAGGATTTCCAGTTCAAAGCCAAGACTGCCTTCTAAGTTTCTAGTCTGTTTTTTCATAAACAGTACAGATTGGCATTTACAACTGTAGTTTGTTTGTTGAAGGGAGGTTTGAAAGGAAGAGCCTTGTAGGAAGATTAAAAGTTACTCCTTTGTCTTCTATAAATTCTTTCTCATGAAATAAGTTGACACTAATACATGGATTTTTTTTAGCCCAGATGAGCCAATGACAAATTTGCAGCTTAAAGTGTCAGCTTCCTTGAAACAAGCTCTCGATAAACTGAAACTGTCATCAGAAAATGAAGGGAGAAAAGGTAAGGAGACAGAGAGATTAAGTAGGTATGTGATGCTAAGTGTCACAAAAATAAATGAAATGCTGATCTTGTCATTTCTGAAGTGATAGTTTCCTGTAATTATGTTCTTTTTCTTAATAATCTGAAATACCTTCCAGTCCAGGAAATGATGGTTGAAGTTCAGATGTGCGTAGCATGGAGACTTGGTTGTCAGGAGCAGTTCATTGTCATTACCATTATTTGAACTGTGTCTTTTCTAAGATTTTGTTTAGAATGGCTGTAATGGGAACATCCATTTCTGAATATGTGACTGACAGAGTTACCGAGAAATGAACTTTACTCCCTATTATTGCAGAGACAGTATCATCATATAAGGCCTTCATAAATTGGTGGAATTCCTTGGAAGACTAGTCGGTTCTCCCTTGTCTGTTTTTCCTCTTTCTTCTTCCTACATTTTATTTGGAATTTGGTTCCAGAACTACACTGCTCCTTAGGTTATTTTGTAATTTCAACCTACGCTTGTGGCTATTTTATGCTCTTTTGTTCTTGTGCCAAGCTAATTTAGCTCTTCTTTCTCCATGGTATCCAAATTATTTCCTTGTGTGCATTTATAGACAGCAGTTGAAGCCTTTTACATTCTTAGTTTTACAAAACTGAACTAGGTGAATGATTGTTCACTTCCCCTGTGATTGTAATGATCCTCTTCATCTTTTTTTATTTACCCCACTTAAAATATGTAAAGATACAGAGCCTAGAATTTGATGCATAGGTAATAGAGCTTTTGGAATGTTTCTCTCTACCTCTCTGGCAGATTTCGCTGTCAGGCAGAAAATAGAATCTTGAAGAGGAAGGTTTTTCTAATCTCCTCCTCGGCTCATTTTAGTTGTTAATAAAGCAAAGTGTTCAGTTGATTATATAATTCATTTGCTATTTTCTGTAATAATCTGTTTACAGAGGAAGATAGTGATGAAATCAAGATTGGGACGGCATGTAAAAATGCAGGCTGTTCAAAAGTAAGTGGTTTAGTTGTACTCTAAATGCAGCTGCTCAGCTATTAAGTGAGCAGTTTTAGTTTTTTATGTGCTACAAGTTAATTTGGAAAAGGCACAAAATCCATTGGGTTTAACAAATGCATATTTGATAACATGTTTTAGTATGAACAAATGTGAGTTGTTTGCAGAAAGTCGAAGATTTTTTTTCCTAAACCTGTCATGAACTTCTAATTATTAAGCTTGTCAAATCCATGGTACTGAGATGTTTCAACTTAACATATTAAATATAGTGTTGGTGAGAGGTAGCTTACTGATAACACTTGAGTTGCTCTTGATAATGTGTATAGATCAGAAGTATCTACAGATCTTAGCAGTTAATGCTTCCTGCAAGAAGAATTAAAAAGTCAGTGTTTTAACACATCTGGTACCAAAATTAGTCATTATATTACGTAGTCATTTTAAGTGAAAATTACACTGACAGGCTTGTTTTGTGTAAAAGGGGACAGGAAAATTTTAATAGCTGTATTACCTGGCAGATTTTGCATTATCTACTGAAGCTCTGGTGGGAGGAGAACTTTGGCAGTCTTTGTGTTGGGAAGAACTGACCTGATATTCAGTGGCTAAGTTGTATATTGTTTATTTTACTTTCTGTAGAGAATCCATGTGTTTTATGAATGACAGGTTTAATTTATTTTCAAGTTAAGTTCTTGTTTTCTCTGAATGCTCAGGGTATTTTAAAGACAAAAATCTCCATGAGGATCTGCAGCAGCCTTTATGAACATAAGTGGTGTCACCATTGATGTATGCCATTGAACTAATATAAAGTACAGCTTCTTAGCAGTGCCAGACAACCTTCTGTGAAGGAAGGTTGAACACTTAATTTGAAAAGCTAGAACAAGCCATTAAATCTAGAGTATTTACCCAAAAGCTTTGTCGTACTTTGGTCATTATTTCTGGGTTTTGTTGTGTTTTATTTTATTCCTTGCTCCAAATCCTGCAGCAGTAATACTCTTTAAATGCTTTGTCCCACCAGACATACGAAGGACCGCAGAGCACAGAGGAAGTATGTATATACCATTCTGGTGTACCTATTTTCCATGAAGGGTTAGTATTCAGCTAACTTCCATTTTTGTACCTCTGTTCTGTGAAGGGTTAGTATTCAGTTAACTTCAGGTTTTTATAACTAGTTTATTGTGTTTTCTTGCTTTCTTTGTAAATGTTGCCTTGATTTATTCTCTATTCCCTCTTCTGTCAAAAATGACAATGCTTGAAAAGAATATATGGAAGTAACAGTAATACTGCATAAAGGAAAGAGCTTAAATGTTCACTGTAAATAGTGTCCTAAATATTGTTTGTTAATTACTTTGCAAACTTTCAAGGATGAAGTATTGGAGCTGTTGTAAAAGAAAAACTTCTGACTTCAATACATTTTTAGCTCAAGAAGGCTGCACAAGAGGAACACACGTATGGACTAAAAAGGATGCAGTAAGTAGCATTAAGATTGCATTCTGTAACTGGCTATTCTGAATTTTGAATACTGAAATGTAGTTTGTAGCTTGATTGAGTTATTATTGTAGCTGAGCTATTACAGATCACCACCTTTGACATAATGTGGAGGCTATATAATGTACGTAGCAGGAAAACTGAGAAATGGAGTGTGAAGTAGTCTGTGGTACAGGAGTACTTAATTCTTTAAGAATATTGTATTTGGTCATACGATGGATACAGGTGAACAAAAAGTTCCTGTTATGAATGTGTTGTCTGTTGCTGAGGCAAAAAGGGTTTGACATTGCAAACATCAGGAATATTTAACAAAAGAAAATAAAGATATGTTATAAAAAGTGTAGTTTCATTACTTCATTCCTGAGCAATTACTTCATAAATCCTTTACTTCTTTTAAATCTTAAAATTGCTGCTTGCTTTGAATATTTATATTTTTGCTCACGAACTATTTGCAAGTGCAAAAAGTAGAGATTAAAAAAAAGTTGAAGTGGTGAGTCTAAAGCAGGAGAGTGTAGAAAAAGACTAAAGAATTTATCCACATTTAAAGAAACCATGAGTATATTAATTGTATGTGTATTGAGATAATCGGTTTTTATCCAGCAAGGAATTTTTTTACGTTAGCTTTTTGCTTTAATTTTCACGGTTTTTTTCACAGTTTACTTACTTTTTCTGCATCAGAGAACAGAGAGTAATACTTTTTTTTGCAGGACTATGAAGCATTCTTGGAGTCATGGCATTCTTTCTCTGTGTTCAGTTCCTTTTTGTAACCTGCTGGCTAACTGTCTTGGAAATGCAGTTGACCCACCAAGTACAATTTTTTTTTTTTTGTTGTAGTTTGTTTGAGAGGGAGATACTGAAATTCTTAGTAAAAAGAATTGGAAGTGGAGTCTTGAATCTTCTGTGAAGATGAAATACAGTCCTTTATTAGCTGTGCTAATTAGCTATTAGAAAAAGTCCTGGGCGTTTATGCTATTAATCTTGTAAAAAAAATATTCAAATGTAGTTCTAAGTCTTTTTTTCTTCCTGTACTTTTTTCCTTATATAGGGTACTAAAGTAGTTCCATGCAGGCATGATTGGCACCAGACTGGAGGAGAAGTGACTGTTTCTGTATATGCTAAAAACTCCGTCCCTGATCTGAGCTACGTAGAAGCTAATAGCACAATGGTGAGCCTCTACCCTAAGTTCAGCAACTTGAACCTAGGAAAATCTGCTCAGTTTTATTTACAAAACAGAGATACCATAAGACTCTTTTTTGAGTAACTGCTTTTTCTTGGCATTTGTGTTTGTTCAAGTATGTATAGCTTTTTTCTCCCTTCTGTTTGGACATCTGCACTTTAATGTGTGGGGGTTTTTTAAAGCTGCAATAAAAGTATGCAAAAAAAAAATCTTTGATTTGACTTCCATAATTAAAACTCAAGCATTATGGGTTTGCATCACCATGTGTCTAAATAATTATAGAGTCATCATTTACTTGTATTTGACTTAATGTAATTTGATACCATTCTTCATTGTATGCTGTTTCACAGCTACTAATATTAAACAGGTGTTAAAATGCCTCTCTTATTTCTTAATCTAAAATGATAAGATACCAGTGGTCACTGTTGATTGCAACTGTATCGTAATCTATTAAAATAGATACTCATCTCTATTTCAGAGGGATAATTTTATCACTTTGGTCATTGTAGGATCCAAGTCCTAAAGTCCTATTCTGTTTAAATATGCTCGGGGTGTCAGATGTTTTATTAACATGATAAACTTTTCTATTTTTTTTTTTGTTTTTTTTTTCCTGTTAAGGTAAATATCCATATTGTATTTGAAGGAGAAAAGGAGTTTCATCGTACTGTGAAGTTATGGGGAGTAAGTATAAAAATATGTTTTCTATTAAAAAGAAACAAACAAAAAATCTAACAAAAAACCCCAAAAGGAAACTGAAGCATAAGCCATTAGCTTTTTCTCTTTCAAAATGGTGTGGTTTTCCTCATTACTCTGTTTTTTGAAATAATTTCTCTTGCATGACATTGAGTAATTACATTTAAATCTTAATTAAAGGACCCTGGAGATAAAGTGTGACATCATGATAGGCGTTGCTTTGTACAGAAGGTGGCCTTCCAAGGTCCTTTCTGATCCCAACACCATGGTAGTGGTATTGCAGAAAACCCTTGTTTATGCATGTTAGCCAATGTGTGTTAGATATGCATTGGCATATGTTTATGCCATAAGCATTCCATAGCTTGGGAATGGGAAACAGTCTTTATTTTTCAAGATACTAGAGGGATCTTCATCTGCCTAAACATCTACTGAAATTTAGTGATGAGGTACTCCCTAACTTAAATCCCCAGTATCTGTTAAATTAAAGCATGAAACACCTTTACTGTTCCAGGTGATCGATGTAAAGAGGAGTTACGTGAACATGACCGCTACAAAGATTGAGCTCACTATGAGAAAAGCAGAGCCCCTGCTATGGGCAAGTCTGGAGTTACCAGTCTCCAACACACAACCAAAACAGGAGAGTTCGGATCAATAACAATTCCAAGAGACGAGTTATTTCCCATGATGAAGTGGTGACTTGCTACTGTAATCAAATATTTAACTTTTATATAGATTTCTTTTTTTTAATGCTAGTTCATCTGTTCCCTTCTAGAAAGAAATTTGACGCACAGCAAATGGGGGTGTAAACTTGAAAGGGTAACAGTTATTTCTGCTCTTGCTCCCATGGGTATGTTTATGCTAGATGTGATGTCTCCATGGGAATTTAGAGTAAAACAGCTATTGCCCTTTGCTTGCAGCCTTCCCTTCCATGCACTGACTATCCCAGTAGATGTGCTCTCTGTTCACAGTGAGTGTCTTTGTTTTTCAGCTGTTCTGTTTAGACTGAATGCATTTGGTAGCCTTTGTTAAATTCAACACTGTTATGAAGCTTACAGTAATGCAGATACAAAAATCTGAGACTGAACTGATTGGCATGTAATTCTACATCTAGAGTAAAAGGTTACATAAACAGACATAGGAAGTTGTACACTTGTAGACTTTTGTGTTCTGAAACGAAGATTTCTTTCAATACCTGTTGGCTTATGTAGGAATGAAATGAATGGTGTTATTCCAAGGATTTCAGTACTGCTGACTCCTGCTGTCTTTCATGTATCAAAGCAGATCAGGTTAAAATTTTAAAAAAGGTGACAAGAAGGGATTTTTTTTTACTCTTTTACATTTGCTATTTCAGTAGTTAAATATAAAAGCAAATGGACAGTGAAATGGCTGTACAATTTAGTATTTCAGCTGTGAAGAGTATGCAAACAGCAAACTATTGTAAAATTACCAAAGTGCTGTATATATTTGGCAGCCTTTAGAATGTATAGTCTGTCCTATTTTACAACATTGAAAATCTCAAGATTCTTCTCAAAGTAGATGGATATGTGTAGTAGGAGAAGCCAGGACACGCTGTAGGTGTCTCGGTAAAACAATTTTCATACAGATATGTGTATCTCTTGCCTCTAAGGATGGTCATCTAAGAACTGCAGTTATATACAGGGCAAAACTTAAGAGAAACAATATGCTTTACAATCTCTGTCTCATATCGTAATTGTACCTTTGACTCCAAATACTTTAAAAGAGTACTGTATCTTTTCAGCAGACTGTAATTAGAAATTTAGAAATCAAGACCTTAGTTTTGTTTTCAGTTCATCAGTAAAGGTGTGTGGCTGAAAACAGGATAGCTGTAAAGATGCAATTTTTTTTTTTTTAATCCAGGCAGCAACACACAGAGTAACGTTACTTTCTATTTCTGGTTGGAATAGTTTCTTAAATTTGGCTTGCAGCTGAAATAAAGATGTTTTCCTATTAAAGTAATAAAAAATGCACAGCATTTATTGTGCCTAATCCTGTATACGTAAACAAGAGGGTTTGTGGATTGTTAAATGCGTGGATGTTCATCTATCAGCCTTGGCAGACCTGGAATAGTGTCAGGAGAAACACAGGGTGTAGTAAAGGCATTCTGAAGTGAAATGCAGATTTCTGAGAATCTTGCTGTTTTCCAGTAGGTATGATTTGACTCAGATTTCTGTCTCTAACAGTACTTGAAATCCTACTTCATGCTTAAAGTAGTAGGAAATGCATTACCAAAGAAACCATCCCTGAACACCAAGAAGGTAACACTGCTGATACAAATATATATGTATACATGCATAAAATTGTTTTGGTGCTTCTCTACCTTAATTTAAGATCCTTTGCTTCAACTACTTAGTTTGAGCATAACTGTATGCTCCTTTGGGCCCTTTTAAAAAATTTCAGCTCTGAGTTCTGCTGTATAGATTCTGTTAACCTCTAATAATGCCTTTTTTTCCTCTTTTCTTTTTAAATCTGAAAATGTCAGGTACTGCAAAGTGATAGGATACTAGCTTATAAAATACATGCCTGCCAGGTGGTCCTCTGGAAATTGAACAGATGCTTCTTGATGTGTTCTGAACCAACAAGTGGAGTACTTATTAGTTAGTGTGACACTGAGAAACATCAGTGGATGAAAAATTCTAGATAGCTGTAGCTACTAGCATGCCATCTGTGTTGGTGGGTGCAGAACTCTGAACTTGGACAGTAAAATTAGTTGTGGTTAAATGCCAGGATAAAGTTCTTGTTTAACAAGCATGTTCAAATGTGTCTATCCATATGGATATATAAATATCCTAAATATGTCAAAAAATATGGAAAACATGTTGTCTCTTAATTTGCATCCTCATGTGCATTAGATTTATGTAATGTAAAACCTATTTTAAAGAACTACATGGAAAATGGAATTCCTTGGGAAAACAATTTCTGTTTTTCAGTAAGTTGTATTCTGCCTTAGTGCACTAACAAATGGAGAGAAATGTGGATGAATGGGCCGTCTCATGTGAATGCTGCAGGCTTTGGGATCCTGTAACTACTTGTTGCACTCTTCCAAACTGTGTTCTGCTGGTAGCTTAGTCACCTTAGCCATAAGTGGGAGAAAGCTCCTGTGAACACAATCCCCAGTTTTGCTTTTGCTTTTTTTTATTCCTCCTGTCCTCCTGTTCATACTTTCAGAACAAAGCTAAAGATACTTCAGGTGTTCTATAATGACTCCCCTCATCCCTAGCAAAACAACCACTTTTAAAGCTTACCTGTTTAAAAAAGCAGGCAAACAAATTAAAGAACCCATGAAAACCCCACCAGCTTTGGTCAGGCAAGAAAGTATAGATGCTACAATAACAGTGGCCTGGGATGCTTTTCAAAATGAAAGTATAACCCTTCAGATGGCCTTGTCTGCCATAAGCTGTCTGTTTAACTGCAGTAGTTCTTAGCAGTTTTTTATAACCATATGTCTGCATCTATCCTGAAGCTCCAAGAGCTGTATCAGTCATTGAATTTGTGTGTTTTGAGCAGTTGCACACAACAGACTTCAATACACCAAGGGTTGTTCCTGGTGTTTCATGCAATGACATCCTGACATGCATAGTGGTAGCAAACACTTTGATGGAATATTGGCTTGGCTGTAACTTTTATTATTAAGTATGGAGAGAAGGGAGGCCAACTGTGGTGTACTAAACCAATCATGATGGCTACTTTCCCAAAAGCAAGATTTGTCAAGGAAGCAAAGCAATATTTGATCACAGGCATTCACCTGTCTAATAATATGTCAGTATATTGCAAACCAGTATGAGCAGGAGTATTCAGTGTTGAATTCATCCTTTTTTCATGCTCTCAGGTCTTGTGCTGTACTTATCAAAATAAGTTGATACAGTCTGACTATATTTTTATAAATAAGTGTTTAAGAGCTGTAGTGTGTTTCAGTATGGGTTTATGTGTTACACATGTAGACAAGCATGTCACGTGAGTCAGAGCTGACTGTCCAGGTGCATATAAAACTTCACCTTTATGATCCCTTTAGAATACAAAAAATTGCATGGGTATACAAGTTTATGACAAATCTTAATATTTTCCCTCATGTATAAACCCATTTTCCTATCTAACAGATTTCACACCTAACATTACATCTCAGGTAAAAAGTGATAGAGGATGAGAGGAAACGGCCTCAAGTTGCACCAGGGGAGGTTTAGATTGTTAGGAAAAGCAGTTTTTATGGAAGGGGTTGTCAGGGATTAGAACAAGCTGCCCAGCGGAGAGTGCAGTAACAGTGCCTGGAGGTGTTTAAAAAAAATACGGGTATGGCACTTGAGGACATGGGTTAATGGTGAACATGGTGGTGGTGCTGCCTTGGTGTCTGGTGACCTTAGAGGCTCTTCCAGTCTTAACAATTCTGTGTTCTTGTATCTGTAAGAACATTTCTTGGAGGAATTGGAATTTATGTGAAATGTTAATACATTGCTAAGCACAGGGCTGATCAGCTATATTGACTCTAAGGTGCTGATACAACTTGACAGAATAATCTTCCATTGGATGGTATATTCTGGATTGTGTACATTATCAAGTCACCATTTCAGTAGTTTAGGAATTAGTTTTACTAGGAATTTTGCCTTGGGAAAAAAATATACCTATTCTACATAATGATGCATTTTTGGCTTGCATTCTTTAAACATGGCATGAGTATTGATTAAATACTGTATCTGTTAATGATTGGTCTTTCCCAATTTGCTACTAAATTTTCTTTACTTCTGTTCAGGAAGGAGATCCTTTTTAAAGTAATGAGTTATGTGTCTGGAACACTGTTTAAGGGTGGTAATAATTTTGCCATTATAAGAGTCTTGAATTACAGTTGAAGAGGAGATGACTTTTCGCATGGCTGTTTGATTCTGCACATTCACAAAACTTACATGCAGAAATTAATCTCGTGTCTTCATGCTCTAGTTTTTTTCTAAATGTATCCAATAAAATTCTTATTACATGCTGGTTGCATTTGGGGTTTGTGTTTGACTCCTTTTGTTATAGGTGTGAACTTCCCTGTTAGTTTGCAGCATGGTTGTTGAAGTAAAATGTAAGTGGACATTTTCCACACGTAGGTCTATATAGGAGTGAAACTGCATCGCCAAGGGGTTTTTCCCACCTGTTGTTCCTTTCTTTGCTTGTTGCTTTCTAAAGCTACAGCCCAGTCAGGATATGAGTTTTGCAGAAATCTGAGTGTGATTTCTGAGATGGGGGCCTGTCTCATTCACAGGAATAGTTCAGTCCAAGACTTTTGAGCTGTCACAAACTTAATGGAACGGAAGTGGAATAATTCCAGATACAGTGGCTGTTTCTGAAGTTACTGATGGTACTGTTGCTTTAATTTTTTTTTCTGGTTTCTTAGAAGAAGGAGATAACTTTCCAAGACCTCTGGCATTCACTCAGTGTAGAAAAGGGTTCACCTCTTGATATCTTCTATGGTAATAAATACTTGGGCTTTTCCCAAAGTTTGTGTAGATGTTTTGACCAGAGGGTAACCAATGTATTGTTACAGACATTACGAACTAAACCACAGTCAAATGAGTGTTAAGCAGAAAATGAAGCCTCCTTTTGAATAAAATATTTTTGTTACCTGCTAGAAACAAGTATTTGAAGAACTAGTTCCTTGTTAAATTTTAAAGCTGCATTGCAACAAAATTCATTTAAAGCTACCTAGAGGCAGATCTTTTACATTACAATGATCTGTGAAATATTTTTAGTCCAGAAACCTTGTTCTCAGAAATGTGATTTAAACCTATGATAAATACTGATACTGCAATATTATTGCTGAATTCTATGATTGGGAAAAAAACTAACCTAATATACTTCTAGGCTAATGTGCTTAACCTAATTTGTTTCTCCTTAATTGGAAATCAGGCTTGTGTATAACAAGGCAGAGTTGATGCAGTGTGCTTCTATACCCCAAGGGACTTAATTTAGGGTTTTTTTTAAGGGAATGCCTTGTAATCAGGTTATATCATTATGTATATAAACAACCCAAATTTTAAACGTTCTGCTCATAGTGAAAGCAGTTAACATTTGGAGTGTCAATTCATGTTCAAAACCTACAGTAAAGAGGTAGTTTAAGTTCTTTAACTGCAGCTTTGTGAACTGGAAGCTTGTTGGCTCTTCTGTTACCAGAGTTTTACTTTACTGGATAACTTAAGTGGGATACTTGTGCTTTCCATGAGCAATTAACAGCTGTAAAGAAGAGAAGGTTGGTA